ACAAATTAGAGGGAAAGAACCTGTCCGGTGGAAATGAATGAAATTCCATTTTGTAGCATGAAAGAATGCATTCATGGCCCACTTGGCAGGAAGTCCACGGGCCCGGAAACCAGCGGCAGCAACCCCCCACCCTAGAACCGGTTGGAGGCAACCTGCAAGCCGAGGAGGATATACCATAGGGCCTTTGTCATGGACCCAGGGGAACGAAAAATCCGCTTAGGTCAGTTTCATCCTGCCATGTGGGCCTTTTTCCTTCTTGGACTGAGACAGAAAGGTAACCTTGCCACCATAAAGTTCTTGACAATATCGTCCAGCATAGTTCCAAACAGCCAATCTCCCCAGAAGGACAAGTTCACCAAACATATTTGAAGATCTGGTCAGCCAACCAATGCTTGAGCCACAAAACCTGCTGCAGCACTAATGCCAAAACAGAATAAGGAGGAGTGGAGCTGTGGCAAGGGACGCATCACAAATGTACTTTAGTCCCTGGACCAAATGGTCCGCCAACTTTACATACACTTGAGGCAACTATATAGAAGTCAAGGATTGTAGAGGAACCTTGGCCCAATTTGTTCGATTCTGGGATACCAGGGCCAGGACTGGCTGGAATGCAGACCCGGCAATGGTGAACAGGGAGCGGGCCACCACCTCCACCTGCAATATGCAGGATCCTTAGGTGGAAGATTCCTCACCAGGATCTCCAGAGCCTTGTTCAGCCAAGATATAGGAGGGTCCACCACAGTAGGCCCTCTTCTTCAGGAAGTCTCATCAAAGAGTTAACATACTTCAGAGAGCTTGGGAAGAACATACTGGTGCTTTGGAGGACCCCAGTCCTTACTGCAACCATGAAAGCAATGACTAACGCTGATCCCTGTGCAAATACAGTGGCAGAGGACCCATCCTCTTCCTCCAAGGGAGTGGCATCAGGATCCATGGTTAACCGCTCTGGAGCCCACCTGATCATGGGGAGTCCCACCCCTTAAACGGATCTCCGACGTTCGACCACAGTATCTCAGCCCAGAGGAGGTATTGCTCGGTCCCCTAAAACGCCTTCCCATACCGCCGAATGTCATAGGGCACAGAAACAGGGGCAAGGACAAGCCACACCCACCTGACCTACAGGCAGAAGCAGGGAGAACCTGATACCAGGGATCCCTGTGTGAGGCCCCAAGCTCCAGCAGGAGCATAATCATGTGCAGAGGGAACCACAGGCCACGCAGTTATCTGTCATTGCTCAGCTGTCACGGTCCTTGCTAGAAGGAATATAAAAAATCTCATACAGAGCTACTGCTGACAGGACACCTGGAAAATAGTGCCACACAAAGATGGCCACCAGCTGCCGACTCATCCCTAGAGGCAGAAGTGGAGGAGGAGTGCCCACGGCAACTGAGACCTGCCCCAGGTAGAGACAGCCTTCCATTAAACCAAGGCAAGGAATGCCCACGACCAAAATGGCGGGTGTCATAGCCCACCCAGCAAGCTGCAAAGGATTTCTGGACAGCAGGGCCACATGGAGCGCCCACCCATGGGTGGGCACAGCAGAACACCAGCGCCTAGCCCCAAGCCTGCGGAAGAGCCCTGAGTTGTCATGCCCAGTTCTGCTCTTGTATAGCAGCCACATGCCCTGCCAAACAGTAGCCCAGACTTCCCCAGCTCGTGCCTGGGACACACACCCAGAGCACTGGATTGGGCCCCACACCTCACCACCAAGCATTCCTCCTGGACCAACCGAAAGGGGATTCAGATGGAAGCAGCACCATCCAAAAACTTCAGCATACGTCAAAGGATAGCCCAGGGTCTGAGAGCCAGGTAGGTCAGATTGCAGGCAGGCGAGCCCCCTGTGTAGGAGGAGAACCAGCTACCACCAAAGTTTGGAAGAAGAGGGGGTGGAGGGGAATCTGCATCTGGGAAGTGAAGAAAGGGGGGCATTTCAACTTACCAGTCCTTAGCATGCAAGTAAGGCTCCTGTGACAGATCCTCCTATCCACCGAAGTGGGGGGGGGGTGCGGGCTGTCGGTTTAGAGGAACACTGTGACACAGACTATAGCCGCCCGGTCATATGTGTCCCTGTGAGACATGTAACCGCTGGCCGCCCTGGTCCATGGGGCATTGTTGCGGCCGACCGAGTGTGGAGCTAATGGTCTGTGTGCGCTCGCTGGCCAGATTGGGGTAACCACTGGATCCAGATTAACCAGCCCATCGCCCAACCTGACTGTTGATAGAAGATATCTGCAGGAAAAAAATCCCAGGAAAAAAAATTAAAAGCTATATGACCATGAGCACCAGCATGAAAAATATGTCCATACTCCTGAAGACACTAGACAGAATGACTGGTGGCTTATAGCAGGTTTTATGCCCAGAGAGGACTACCCATAGGAGGTGCTGACGTGGTCATAATTAAAAAAAGAGGCTGTGTTCATCAATGAACACAAGAGAAAAGTCTGTGTGTATGGGGCATTAGTTTTGTTTTCAGTGTCTCAGCCAGAAAAATCCATAACAATGTCTTACTGCACTTATCTGCTCTATGAGTGAGCATGCATGAGAGCTGCAATCGGGACGTGCTAAAAGGAATGACAGGATGGAATGGCCAAAGACTTTAACAGGGCGGTAAAATACTCAGACAATAATGGAACAGAAGGGAATACCTACAGAGAATGGGAAACAAAATATAAACTCATTTGCAGGCAAATCTAACGGCCACATCAATTTCTCCTTTCCAACAGGTGTTCCCCAAGCAGAGTAGTAGATTGTAAAATTTAAATTATTTGGGATTATAACTGCTTTCTATGGAATGACAGATGAATGACACAAAGGAATGCCCATAGAGTATCATAAGAAGCAAGATGTGACCTAGAGTCAGAACCATTCAACATATCAAAAAAAAAAAAAAAAAACTTAGCTGATGTACTCACCAAAAAACAATAATAATTCCACCTAATCTCAATTTTAAAGGATAAATTCACCTTTGGAACATGTTACATGTTCCACCCGTCTTTAGGGTGGATCATGTAACATGTTCCCATAGCCACAGCCTTTACAGGCTCCTTTGGACAAAAATATTAAATGCTCATTTTTTTACCTGCAATAAAATGTGTATTTATTATTTTTGTCCAAAAAGTGAATTTATCCTTTAAACAACACCACTGACTTGGAGAGTATGTCTGCTAAGGATTTATGTAATATGTCTAATGGTTCAGACTCCAGGTCACATCTTGATTCCCATTATACTCTATGGGCATTTGTTTGTGACATTCATCTGTCATTCCATAGAAAACAGCTATAATCCCAAATATTTTCAGTTTTACAATCTGCTACTCTACTTGGGGAACACCTGTGGGAAAGGTGAAATCGCTGTGTTTATCAGATTTGCCTGCAGATGAGTTTATGAGCTAGAAAACATGTGATCGCAAAAGCTTGCCATTTAGATTTTTCAATACAAATATATTCATTTAAATATCTCATATTCTTCAGGTCTGTGTACAGCAGTGTGATGTATTGCATTTTCGGACAGTAACACGTGGTGCCATACTATATGGTGCAGTGCAGAAAAATGCAAATGTGACGTTTTCCGCACTGCAACACACCGCACACTAGCAGTGTGGTGTGAACAGGGGGAACACATAGAAAACAATTGTTTTCTATGTATGCCAGCAGTGCCCTGTGTATATTCAAGGCAAAAAAACACAGGTCATAGTATATAGCAAGGCTGTTGTTAGAAACCACAGGGCCCCGTACAGCCAATGTAATAGGGCCCCAAATAAACACAGTTTATTATGCTTGTTATGAACACAGTGAGTGATCACTACCGATCACCATTGTGTTCATTCAGGAAAGGAAGGGGCTGGTAAATGTGACATATCTACTGACCCTTCCCACACTCTCCATCCCATTGTATTCTTGCATCTACCTGTGGGAAGGAGAGCAAAGAAGTCGGCAGCACTGCGGGCGGCACACAAGGGGGCTTGGACAGCATGGGGAAATGTATGATGCACTGGATGGGTGCTGCAGAGAGAGCCATACAAGCTATCAGTTCCAGTAATTGTCCCCCCCCCCCCCTGCTGTGCAGATCACCCTCCCTGCTCACACCTGTTTCACCTTGATGCCTGGGCCCCGTACAGGAGAACCAGTGGTACCTCCTTATCCACGGCTCTGGTATATAGTATGATTGAGCTCTTACTTTCACACTGCAGAGATTTTGAAGCGTTTTTGCGTTAAAAACTCCTGAAAAGCTCAAGAAAATCGCTTCCCTATGTATGTGAATGTATATCTATGTATGTTTTCACACTGAGGCGTTGCGCTTGCGATGCAGTGTAAAAGCTCCTGCTTGCAGCATCTTTAGGGCATGTTTGGCGAGTTAAAAAAAACGCCCCAAAAATGCCTCTTCCCATTGAAATCAATAGAAACTGCCTAAAAAGCGCCTCTGAGAAGCGTTTTTGGTGCCGTTTTTAAGTCACATGTCCTTTAAAAATGTTCAGAAAGCGCAGAAAAAAATGCCTATGCGTTTTTGTTGTGTTTTTTTCTTTTCAGACCAGTGTTAAAAGTCACGCCAAAGACATGCTGGGAGGTTAATTGGCTCCTGTCTAAATTGTCCCTAGTGTGTGTATGTATGAATGTGAGTTAGAGACCTTAGATTGTACACCCCTTGAGGGTTAGGGACTGATGTGAATGTACTATATATATGTAAAGTGCTGCATAAATTGATTAGTTATTAGTACCTGAAATAAAGTAGCCTGTTTATAAAACATTTCCATAACCAACACCTGCAAGGCTAACAGACGTTGGATAGCTCAGCTTCTTATGTAATACTTCTCTGTGACTTGGTAAGGAATGCTTCTGTCAGTACATGAGGCCTGATCCCAATGAAACCTCTGTGCTGCCAATAAAGCATCTGCTCAATTTTGTGATCACGGAAACTACAGTGTGTGTGTGTAAAAAATAAACATCAGATTCTAACACCTAGTACAATGTAAATGCAACTTAGAAAACCCCAAATCACCTACAGAGGATAGAACTCTCAGCAGAAACAAGCATGTCCGGACTCCATGTTAAACCAACAATATGAACTAAAGAGCGATAAGCGCATGGGGGCATGTCAGAGTGCACAGCGCCATCTTGTGGATCCTCGATATACGACGTACCACAAACAAATGTATCTATATGCGTAATTAATGCAATATCGCCATCTTGTGTTCAAATACGAATACTGACAGGAAAAAAAATGTTTCAATTCAATACCGGCCACTTTCACCCCCCTCCTGCCCAGGACACTTTTCAGCTTTCACACTTTGAATGATAATTGCGCGCCATGCAACACTGTACTCATATGACATTTTTAGAATTTTGTTTCACACAAATAGAGCCTTTTGGTGGTAGTTAATCACCATTGAGTTTTTTAATTCTTAATTAAAAAAATGTAAAATGACCGAAAATTTTGAAAAAAAAAAAACCCCCACGGTTTTCACATAGAGCCTTTTGGTGGTAGCTAATTGCTACTGGGTTTTTAAAATTGTTTGTTAAAAAAATTGAAAATGACCGAAAATTTTGAAAAAAAAAAAACAGTTTTTCACACAAATAGAGCTTTTTGTGATAGTTAATCACCACTGAGTTTTTTTAATTTTTTTGTTTAAAAAAATGTAAAATGATCGAACATTTTTGAAAAAAAAAAAAAATGTTATTTGTTTCTGTTATCAAATTTTGCAAATAAGTATTTTTTCTCCTTAACTGATGTGTGCTGATGAGGCTGCACTGATTAGGAGGCACTGATGAAGCTGTACTGATGGGCACCAATAGGTTGCACTGATCAGCAGCACTGATAGATGGCACTGATGGGCACTTACAAGCGGCACTAATGGGTACTGATTAGGCTGCACTGATGGGCACTAATGAGGGAGCACTGATGAGCTGGCACTGATTATTATTATTATACAGGATTTATATAGCGCCAACAGTTTGCTCAGCATTTTCCAATATAACGGGAGACAATACAGCAACAATACAGTTCAATACAAGAGGGTTAGGAGGGCCTTGCTCCTTGGAGCTTACAATCTAGGATTAGGAGGCACTGATGAAGCTGCACTGATGGGCACTGATGAGGTGGCATTGATTGGGAGGCACTGATGAAGCTGCACTGATGGGCTCGAATAGGTGGCACTGATGGGCACTCATAGGCAGCACTGATAGACGGCACTGATGCGCACTGACAAGCGGCAGTAATGGGTACTGATTAGACTGCACTGACGGGGACTGAAAAGCTGCACTGATGGGCACTGATGAGGTGGTGGCACTGATGAAACTGCACTGATGGGCACCGATAGACTGCACTGATGGGTACTGACAAGTGTCACTAATGGGTACTGATTAGGCTGCAGTGATGGGGACTGATAGGTGGGACTGATGGGCACCACTAATGGGTAAAGATGGACAGCACTGATGGGTACTGATGGGGCTGCACTGATCATCAGGATACTGATGATCAGTGCCCTGATTATCTGTGTACATGCCCCTAGCACACTTGCCGGCTACCTGCTCTCCTCACGCTGTGACAGCGCGTTAGGAAAGTACTGCTGATAACCGGCAAGTGTGTTTACATTGTGATCAGCTGTGAGTGGATACATCTGATCACATGGTAAAGGGCCACTGTGATTGACCCTTTACCACGATCTTTGATCAGCTGTGTTCACAGCGATCAGAGCATGCAGCGAGCACACCAAAGGGTGCGCATGGAGGGGTGTGGTTCCAGAAGGACATCCATGGACACCCTCCAAGAACAACAGAGCCACGCTGTAGCTGTCTTTCGTTATAGCATGGTAAGGAGGTGGTTAAACATTGCAACTCAAACATAAACAAAATGCTTTAGGAAAATAGGTTTTAGATGATAAAAAAAGAAAAAAGTAGATGCACAATCCAATCTGGCCGATCCCATGAACATATCTTTTATTATAATTGAGACCATAAGAGTCTCTAGTGATAGACTATCACAATCATGACAGCTGTCCCCAGAGCAGAAGCAGTCTCTGTAATTAAACAAACAGGGGAGAAAGAAAGCACATACTAAGTGTAGCATAAGGTCAACAGGCTCATCAACAAAGAAGACCACTGTTCTGTGTGTGATGTCTCCGTCTCTCCATGCACTGGCTGCCTCTGTGCATCCGGATAGATGGTGGGAAAATGGCGTCTCAAACTTCTGACTTCTGGGAACGAAATTGGAATGCACACTAGCAAAAGTGATGTAATGACAGCAGGATGTAAATGGCTACACATTTCGGTCCTCTCTCATGCCAATGTGTTTGTCAGTGAAACTGCCATGTGACATCATTTCCACAAGTGTGCATTCCAACATGGTTCCTGGTAGCCAGAAGTTTGAAGCGCCATCTTTTCACCATCTGTCTGGATATGCAGAGCCAGATGGTGCACAGAGACATGGCATACAAAACAGCGGTCTTCTTTATTGATGAGCCCGTTGACCATTTTAACAACATGAGTTGCCAATTTTAAGTTTTTAATAAACAGTCCTTATTACACTTAGTAGGAGCTTTTCTCTCTCCCCTGTAGGTTTTTTAGATGATATGAATAACATGAATGCTGAGATAATGTTCAAGAATGATACTTTTCATCAAAATAAAATAGTTGAGGATAATACCTTTACTGGATCCCCAGGCCATTTCTGACCATTCCATTTTTCTCATATATGTAAACATCAGCATTCTTTTTGCTAGAACATTACTTAGAACCCCCCAAACATATTTTATATATATATATATATATATATATATATATATATATATATATACTATATTGACGAAAGTATTAGGACACCCCTCCAAATCATTGGATTCAGGTGTTCCAATCACCTCCATGGCCACAGGTGTATAAAATCAACCACCTAGGCATGCAGACTGCTTCTACAAACATTTGTGAAAGAATGGGTTGCTCTCAGGAGCTCAGTGAATTCAAGCATGGTACCATGATAGGTTGCTTGCTTGCTACTAAATATTACACGGTCAACTGTTAGTGGTATTATAACAAAGTGGAAGCAACTGGGAACAGCAACTCAACCACAAAGTGGTAGGCCACGTAAAATGACATAGTGGGGTTGCACATGCTGAAGCGCACAGTACCCAGAAATTGCCAACTGTCTGCAGAGTCAATAGATAAAGACCTCCAAACATCATGTGGCCTTCAGATTAGCACAACAACAGTGCATAGAGAGCTTCATGGAATGGGTTTCCATAGTCGAGCAGCTGCATCCAAGCCTAACATCACCAAGTGCAATGCAAAGCATCGGATGCAGTGGTGTAAAGCACACTGCCACTGGACTCTAGAGCACTGGAGATGTGTTCTCTGGAGTGAAGAATCACGCTTCTCTGTCTGGCAAATCCGTCGGACATTTCTGGGTTTGGTGGTTGCCACATCGGTACTTGCCTGACTGCATTGTGCCAAGTATAAAGTTTGGTGGAAGGGGGATTATGGTGTGGGGTTGTTTTTCAGGGGTTGGGCTTGGCCCCTTAGTTCCAGTGAAGGGAACTCTTATGGTGTCAGCATACAAGACATTTTGGACAATTTCATGCTCCCAACTTTGTGGGAACAGTTTGGGGATGGCCCCTTCCTGTTCCAACATGACTGCGCACCAGTGCACAAAGCAAGGTCTTAAAGACATGATGAGCAAGTTTGGGGTGGAGGAACTTGACTGGCCTGCACCTCACCCGATAGAACACCTTTGGGATGCATTAGAGCGGAGACTGTGAGCCAGGCCTTCTCGTCCGACATCAGTGCCTGACCTCACATATGCACTTCTGGAAGAATGGTCAAACATCCCCATAGACACACTCCTTAAACCTTGTGGACAGCCTTCCCAGAAGAGTTGAAGCTGTTATAGCTGCAAAGGGTGGGCCAACTCAATATTGAACCCTATGGACTAAGACTGGGATGCCATTAAAGTTCATGTGCGTGTAAAGGCAGCGACCCAATACCTTTGGCAATATAGTGTATATATATTTTTAAGAGGCCCTAGAGAATAAAAATGGTAGGCGTTGCAATTTTTAATTTCATAATATTTGAGCAGTGGTTTTTCAAATGCAAATTTTGGGGAGAAAATAGAGTTTAATTAATTTTAATGCACACAAACACAATATCATACCCAATTGTTTGATAAAATATAAAAGAAGATGTTATGCCAAGTAAATTAATACCAATCATGTCATGCTTTAAAATTGCGCACACCCATGGAATGGCACAAAATTATGGTTTATTAAATTGTCCATAGGTGACACTTTAAAAATATTTACAGTTACCAGTTTAGAGTTCCACAGGAGGTCTGGCACTAAAATGATTGCTCTCAATCTGACATTCACAGCAATACCTCACATATCTGGCTCAATCGCCATTTACATATGCGTGCAGGACCTACTTGAGCATTTGTATTTACTTGTGAGCAGAAAGGACGGGGTTGCTTTAATTTTTTGTTGTTGTTTTATTATTTATTTTATTTAAATTTATTTTTTTTACACTGTATCTTTATTTTTTTATTTATTTATGTTTCTGATCAACTTTTTTGCTATTGCTGGCCATGAAAAACAATTGTAGGCTCAACCATAATCCTGATATAACCATCCCAACACAAGGCCGTATATATACATACAGTGGTATACAGGTGGTTAAAAAATAGAATTAAACCCACCCCACCTCTATTAATGAAATGGGAAGAAAAACACAAGCAAGGCGCTAGAGTTAGTAGAATCACAAAGAACACTATTTTAGTGAAATAAGCACACTTACACGTCAAAAATGCAGCCTGGGATGGACTGAGGAAAAGCCAACAAACAGGTTGCATAAGAACAAAATACTGTCTATCAAACATCAGTGATGGTATCCGCAACACCGGAAAGAGCCGAGAAGGTGGGCTGACCAGCAACATCTATGGCCTCAAACAGGGACAGCCAGTTGTCAGAACAGACTGTTTGTGGCCTTTTTATTGCTCCACCCCAGGCTGGTTTTAAAGTTTTTGACATATAAGTGTTCTTATTTCAATAAATGATGT